GGCATGTTACGTGTCTCCCTCGTGGTGGTGGTAGGGCATGTTACGTGTCTCCCTCGTGGTGGTGGTAGGACATGTTACGTGTCTCCCTTGGTGGTGGTAGGACATGTTACTTGTCTCTCTGGGTGGTGGTAGGACATGTTACGTGTCTCCCTCGTGGTGGTGGTAGGACATGTTACGTGTCTCCCTGGGTGGTGGTAGGACATGCTACGTGTCTCCCTGGGTGGTGGTAGGACATGTTACGTGTCTCCCCCGTGGTGGTGGTAGGGCATGTTACGCGTCTCCCTCGTGGTGGTGGTAGGACATGTTACGTGTCTCTCTGGGTGGTGTTAGGAGATGTTAGTGTCTCCCTCGTGGTGTTGGTAGGACATGTTACGTGTTTCCCTATTTGGTGGTATGGCATGTTACGTGTCTCCCTGGGTGTGGTAGGACATGCTACGTGTCTCCCTGGGTGGTGGTAGGACATGTTACGTGTTTCCCTTGATGGTGGTAGAACATGTTACGTGTCTCTCTGGGTGGTTGTAGGACATGCTATGTGTCTCTGTGTGTGGTGGTAGGAAATGTTACGCGTCTCCCTCGTGGTGGTGGTAGGGAACGTTACGTGTCTCCCTGGGTGGTGGTAGGACATGTTACGTGTCTCCCTGGGTGGTGGTAGGGCATGTTACGTGTCTCCCTGGGTGGTGGTAGGGCATGTTACTTGTCTCCCTGGGTGGTGGTAGGGCATGTTACGTGTCTCCCTCGTGGTGGTGGTAGGACATGCTATGTGTCTCTCTGTGTGGTGGTAGGAAATGTTACGCGTCTCCCTCGTGGTGGTGGTAGGGCACGTGACGTGTCTCCCTGGGTGGTGGTAGGACATGTTACGTGTCTCCCTGGGTGGTGGTAGGGCATGTTACGTGTCTCCCTCGTGGTGGTGGTAGGACATCTTACTTGTCTCTCTGGGTGGTGGTAGGGCATGTTACGTGTCTCCCTGGGTGGTGGTAGGGCATGTTACGTGTCTCCCTCGTGGTGGTTGTAGGACATGTTACGTGTCTCCAATGGTGGTGGAAGGACATGTTACTTGTCTCTCTGGGTGGTGGTAGGACATGCTACGTGTCTCCCTGGTGGTGGTGGTAGGACATGTTACGTGTCTCCCTTGGTGGTGGTAGGACATGTTACTTGTCTCTCTGGGTTGTGGTAGGGCATGTTACGTGTCTCCCTCGTGGTGGTGGTAGGACATGCTACGTGTCTCCCTGGGTGGTGGTAGGGCATGTTACGTGTCTCCCTCGTGGTGGTTGTAGGGCATGTTACGTGTCTCCCTCGTGGTGGTGGTAGGACATGTTACTTGTCTCTCTGGGTGGTGGTAGGGCATGTTACGTGTCTCCCTGGGTGGTGGTAGGGCATGTTACGTGTCTCCCTCGTGGTGGTTGTAGGACATGTTACGTGTCTCCAATGGTGGTGGAAGGACATGTTACTTGTCTCTCTGGGTGGTGGTAGGACATGCTACGTGTCTCCCTGGTGGTGGTGGTAGGACATGTTACGTGTCTCCCTTGGTGGTGGTAGGACATGTTACTTGTCTAACTGGGTTGTGGTAGGGCATGTTACGTGTCTCCCTCGTGGTGGTGGTAGGACATGCTACGTGTCTCCCTGGATAGTGATAGGACATGTTATGTGTCTCCCTTGGTGGTGGTAGGATATGCTACGTGTCTCCCTGGGCAGTGGTAGGACATGTTACGTGTCTCTCTGGGTGGGGGTAGGACATGCTACGTGTCTCCTGGTGGTGGTAGGGCATGCTACGTGTCTCCCTGGATGGTGGTAGGGCATGCTACGTGTCTCCCTGGGTGGTGGTAGGACATGCTACTTGTCTCCCTGGTGGTGGTAGGACATGCTACGTGTCTCCTGGTAGTGATAGGACATGCTTTGTGCCTTCCTGGTGGTGGTAGGACATGTACGTGTCTCTCTGGGCGGTAGGACATGCTTCGTGTCTCCCTGGTGGTGGTAGGGCATGTTACGTGTCTCCCTGGGTGGTGGTTCGATATGTTACGTGTCTCCCTTGGTGGTGGTAGGACATGCTACGTGTCTCCCTGGGCAGTGGTAGGACATGTTACATGTCTCTCTGGGTGGGGGTAGGACATGCTACGTGTCTCCTGGTGGTGGTAGGGCATGCTACGTGTCTCCCTGGATGGTGGTAGGGCATGCTACGTGTCTCCCTGGGTGGTGGTAGGACATGCTACTTGTCTCCCTGGTGGTGGTAAGACATGCTACGTGTCTCCTGGTAGTGATAGGACATGCTTTGTTCCTTCCTGGTGGTGGTAGGACATGTTACGTGTCTCTCTGGGTGGTAGGACATGCTTCGTGTCTCCCTGGTGGTGGTAGGGCATGTTACGTGTCTCCCTGGGTGGTGGTTCGACATGTTACGTGTCTCCCTTGGTGGTGGTAGGACATGCTACGTGTCTCCCTGGGCAGTGGTAGGACATGTTACGTGTCTCTCTGGGTGGGGGTAGGACATGCTACGTGTCTCCTGGTGGTGGTAGGGCATGCTACGTGTCTCCCTGGATGGTGGTAGGACATGCTACTTGTCTCCCTGATGGTTGTGAGACATGCTACGTGTCTCCTGGTAGTGATAGGACATGCTTTGTGCCTTCCTGGTGGTGGTAGGACATGTTACGTGTCTCTCTGGGTGGTAGGACATGCTTCGTGTCTCCCTGGTGGTGGTAGGGCATGTTACGTGTCTCCCTGGGTGGTGGTAGGACATGTTACGTGTCTCCCTCGTGGTGGTGGTAGGACAATCTTCGTGTCTCCCTGGTGGTTGTAGGACATGCTACGTGTCCCTGGTGGTGGTAGAACATGTTACATGTCTCCCTGGGTGGTGGTAGGACATGCTACGTGTCTCCCTGGGTGGTTGTAGGACATGCTACGTGTCCCTAGTGGTGGTAGGACATGCTACGTGTCTCCGTGGGTGGTGGTAGGACATGCTACGTGTCTCCCTGGGTGGTGGTAGGACATGCTACGTGTCTCTCTGGGTGGTGGTAGGACATGTTACGTGTTTCCCTATTTGGTGGTATGGCATGTTACGTGTCTCTCTGGGTGGTGGTAGGGCATGTTACGTGTCTCCCTGGGTGGCGGTAGGAAATGTTACGTGTCTCCCTCGTGGTGGTGGTAGAACATGTTCCGTGTCTCCCTTGGTGGTTGTAGGACATGTTACGTGTCTCCCTCGTGGTGGTGGTAGGACATGTTACGTGTCTCCCTGGGTGGTGGTAGGACATGTTACGTGTCTCCCTCGTGGTGGTGGTAGAACATGTTCCGTGTCTCCCTTGGTGGTGGTAGGACATGTTACGTGTCTCCCTCGTGGTGGTGGTAGGACATGTTACGTGTTTCCCTATTTGGTGGTATGGCATGTTACGTGTCTCCCTGGGTGGTGGTAGGACATGCTACGTGTCTCCCTGGGTGGTGGTAGGACATGCTACGTGTATCCCTTGATGGTGGTAGAACATGTTACGTGTCTCTCTGGGTGGTTGTAGGACATGTTATGTGTCTCCCTGGGTGGTGGTAGGACATGCTATGTGTCTCCCTGGGTGGTGGTAGGGCATGTTACGTGTCTCCCTCGGGGTGGTGGTAGGACATGTTACTTGTCTCTCTGGGTGGTGGTAGGGCATGTTACGTGTCTCCCTGGGTGGTGGTAGGGCATGTTACGTGTCTCCCTCGTGGTGGTGGTAGGGCATGTTACGTGTCTCCCTTGGTGGTGGTAGGACATGTTACTTGTCTTCCTGGTGGTGGTGGTAGGACATGCTATGTGTCTCTCTGGGTGGTGGTAGGACATGTTACGTGTCTCTCTGGGTGGTGGTAGGACATGTTACGTGTCTCCCTGGGTGGTGGGGCATGTTACGTGTCTCCCTGTGTGGTGGTAGGGCATGTTACGTGTCTCTCTGGGTGGTGGTAGGGCATGTTACGTGTCTCCCTCGTGGTGGTGGTAGGACATGTTACTTGTCTTCCTGGTGGTGGTGGTAGGACATGCTATGTGTCTCTCTGGGTGGTGGTAGGACATGTTACGTGTCTCTGGGTGGTGGTAGGACATGTTACGTGTCTCCCCTGGGTGGTTGGGCATGTTACGTGTCTCCCCTGTGTGGTGGTAGGGCATGTTACGTGTCTCTGGGTGGTGGTAGGGCATGTTACGTGTCTCCCTGGGTGGTGGTAGGGCATGTTACGTGTCTCCCTCGTGGTGGTGGTAGGACATGTTACGTGTCTCTCTGGGTGGTGGTAGGGCATGTTACGTGTCTCCCTCGTGGTGGTGGTAGGACATGCTATGTGTCTCTCTGGGTGGTGGTAGGACATGTTACGTGTCTCTCTGGGTGTTGGTAGGACATGTTACGTGTCTCCCTGGGTGGTGATGGGGCATGTTACGTGTCTCTCTGGGTGGTGGTAGGGCATGTTACGTGTCTCTCTGGGTGGTGGTAGGACATGTTACGTGTCTCCCTGGGTGGTGGTAGGGCATGTTACGTGTCTCCCTCGTGGTGGTGGTAGGACATGTTACGTGTCTCCCTCGTGGTGGTGGTAGGACATGTTACGTGTCTCTCTGGGTGGTGGTAGGGCATGTTACGTGTCTCCCTGGGTGGTGGTAGGGCATGTTACGTGTCTCTCTGGGTGGTGGTGGTGGGGCATGTTACGTGTCTCCCTTGGTGGTGGTAGGACATGTTACGTGTCTCTCTGGGTGGTGGTAGGGCATGTTACGTGTCTGCCTGGGTGGTGGTGGTGGGGCATGTTACATGTCTCTCCCTGGGTGGTGGTAGGACATGTTACGTGTCTCTCTGGGGTGGGGCATGTTACGTGGTGGTGGAGCATGTTACGTGTCTCTCTGCGTGGTTGTGGTAGGGCATGTTACGTGTCTCCCTCGTGGTGGTGGTGGGACATGCTATATGTCTCTCAGGGAATGGAAACGAAACGAAATAAAACAACACAAAACAAAACAAAGCAAAAATGAACAAAGAGAATGCAAGAAAAATGCTTATTTTCATGACTCTTCTTTCCAGGTTGATGAATATGTCTCAGGTGAACTACCAGTTGTCCGCTCGGGATCCCGCCGTGACGGCGTCACTTGACCGGATGTATCCAGTATCAACACTCCACCGCATCGCACTTGTTGCCTGTGAACGCATCATGCTCCTCATGAACAACACCCAGATGTTGCGACATCACCGACTGAGCACCATGGATGATGTCCTCATGTATCTGAACGGCATGCACGACGATGTGGGGCTGAGCGGCAACCGCGGCGACTTCTATCGCCGGAAACTGGCAGAGGAACTCTACACTACATTCAGCGTACATGGCGTCGACTACACCAACATCGACGCTGTTGTTGCCGGCGCCATTGACCTTGAAAGACAGACACGCCTAATTCTGGCCGAGAGCGGACGGAGGCTGGATTGTGCGCCACCTGTGCATTACGATGAACAAGTTCTTGACATTTTGGCCAGGATAGCTGACATGCATTAGAATATTTTTGAAATGTCATGCTGACGGACAAACGTCCAACGCCCTCGTATCTTTCCGGGCGAAATCGGAACCGGACAATTCACGCAAATGACTATAAATAACATTTATATCCCAACGGTGTACCCCTCATATCCTATGATATTCAACCAAAATATATTCTCTCACTACGCAATATACAATATACAAATCTGAAGGAGCGGTGACTTCAATGATATTCAAGCCATCGGGTAGAATTCTGTGTCCATGTGTACAGAGTGTCTGATTTAGTTTTGTAAAAAATACAATTTATACCTAGATTTAAAAATAAATTTTTACATGTGAATGTTTTTCTAATACTTCAGTATCGATGACCACGTGCTGGAGTTTCAAGTATGACGCTTGCAGAGTCCATTTTAAGTCAAAACCCTCTCTGCCGCGGTTATAAAAGTGTCCGAAAACATTTGATTGGTATCGCTATATCTTCTTATACTCGAAAGGAGTCATCCTTCTTTATCCAGGGTATAATGTGATTTGTACAAGGGAGATTTGATGATCTGGCTTATGTAGGAGGCAACAACATGTAGCGAAATATATTCTCCTGTCTCTAGTTGCCTTCAGATCTGAGCTATAAGTAGGGCATCCACAATAAGCATGTCGCATTTATGAGAGATGACATTCCTTCCGGGTTTGAGTGGGCGTCAGTGAAGCGATTCTAATATATATCCTGCATTCAACTTTGTAGTAGGTGTTCAGAGCAAGCCGGGCACATGAACACGAAAAGTCAGCGTCCGCATCTGTCGATGGTGTTCACGCTCCACATGGTGAGGTTGAACCCCCGAAAGTGGAGGAACTCATTGTCCCTGAACCGCATTATGTCCCTACAGTTAGGATACAGGAGAACATCGCCCTTTAAAGCCCTAAATGAAGCAAGTCCAGATTTTTTCAGCTTCAGTTTCACTGGGGCTCCTTATCAGTTTAAAAAAGCAATTGTTTGTTTCTAAGTTATATACAGTATATGCAGAGTATACGCGTTAGTCTATTGGTGCGTGGGCGACTTGCTGACCTTGGCCCTTAGTTATCGTGGCGCTAAGGAGATCTTAATTCCAATACTTTAGCATACAGTTATAACGTCTTATTGCTAAGATCCCTTTGTGAAACGGGCTCCCGATGGTTGACACAGTTGACTGAGTATCTGACGGTTGTGGATAGCTGGATATCTAGATATGCAGATAATTTCTTCGTTTTTATGTAGACAACGTATTCTGTTTTCCCATGTCTGTGATAAATTCATGGGGCAATGAGTAAATACAGTCTAACACATTTGTGTCGAATACTTCTGTGTCGAATGCCGCGGTGTCGAATACCGCTGTGTCGAATACCGTTGTGTCGAATACCGCTGTGTCGAATACCGTTGTGTCGAATACTGCTGTGTCAAATACCGCTGTTTCGAATACTGCTGTGTCGAACTCAAGGTTCTCTCGAACTGACGGTTCTCTCGAAGTAAACTCTTGGTCCCTGCATATTCCTGTTATGTCATCATTTTGCGGTTATATGGAAGCTAGAATAACTTGAAGTATTTACGTAAATCCTTTTAACTTCGACATAACGTAATCCGCTTTCCTATTCTACTGCCTGCTTAAGGTGCAAGAAGCAAGTATTGTGATTGCAGGCATACCTTCCAGTGCTAGGAGCTGATAAAATGTTCAGATCTAGTGCATTGATCGGTAAAAGGTTATTGACATTTGGATTATAGTCCTGTCTATCAAGTGCAAGACTTTGTTTTCGGGTTTTGGACTTTCGTAAAGCAAACACTCCAGTCAACGGCCTAAGGAAGGACTTCACTCGGGTCGTGTCAATGCATGTGTTATAACATCGTAAAGCGATTTATATGGAAACAAAATCCAATGTGACGCTCCTCTCAAAATTGATAGTCTGTTTTCGGTGTTAAATGGTGAAGATGCAAACTGCACATTACGTTGTGGCGTCAGTTTACGCACTCCACGTGGACTGGATGAGGGAAATCTTTTCACTGACTCACAGTTGATGACAAATACGAATTTGCAGCAGCTTTCATTTTGGCGTAATTTTTAAGGTTTGTAATGGATTTTCTTAAATGTTCTCCAGTTGGCATATCAAATAGTTCAAAGACAAAATTACCGTTGCGTTTTCTGGGAAGTGTTATACTGCTAGGCAACACTGACAAAAGACTAGGCGCCCGCTACTTACCATGTGACCTTTGTTTTAATACACACCCGTGCATCTATAGCCTTGCCATCATGATGGCCTGCCTAACGTCTACATCTATATTGCCTTGACATTATAATGGCCTGCTTAACGTCTACATCTATATTGTCTTGACCTTATGATGGCCTGCCTAACGTCTACATCTATTGCCTTGACCTTATGATGGCCTGCTTAACGTCTACATCTATTGTCTTGACCTTATGATGGCCTGCTTAACGTCTACATCTATTGCCTTGACCTTATGATGGCCTGCTTAACGTCTACATCTATTGTCTTGACCTTATGATGGCCTGCTTAACGTCTACATCTATTGCCTTGATGATGGCCTTATTTGCCTTGGCCTTATGATGGCCTGCTTAACGTCTACATCTATTGCCTTGACCTTATGATGGCCTGCTTAACGTCTACATCTTGCCTTGATGATGGCCTGCCGTCTACATTATTGCCTTGTCTGCTTAACGTCTACATCTATTGCCTTGACCTTTATGATGGCCTGCTTAACGTCTACATCTATTGCCTTGACCTTATGATGGCCTGCTTCCATTGCCTTAACGTCTACATCTATTGCCTTGACCTTATGATGGCCTGCTTAACGTCTACATCTATTGCCTTGACCTATGATGGCCTGCTTAACGTCTACATCTATTGCCTTGACCTTATGATGGCCTGCTTAACGTCTACATCTATTGTTTGACCTTTGGCGATGGCCTGCTTAACGTCTACATCTATTGTCTTGACCTTATGATGGCCTGCTTAACGTCTACATCTATATTGCCTTGACCTTATGATGGCCTGCTTAACGACATGGCCTTGACCTTAACGTCTACATCTATTGCCTTGCCACCATGATGGCCTGCTTAACGTCTACATCTATTGCCTTGACCTTATGATGGCCTGCTTAACGTCTACATCTATTGCCTTGACCTTATGATCCTACGTCTACATCTATTGCCTTGACCTTATGATGGCCTGCTTAACGTCTACATCTATTGCCTTGACCTTATGATGGCCTGCTTAACGTCTACATCTATTGCTGTCTTGCCACCATGATGGCCTGCTTAATCGTCTACATCTATTGCCTTGTGACGATCTGCATCTATTATTGCCTTGACCTTATGATGTCTACCTGCTTAACGTCTATGGCCTGCTTATCGCCCACATCTATTGCCTTGACCTTATGATGGCCTGCTTAACGCTCCGCTATCTATTGCCTTGACTCATGATGATGGCGTCTACATCCATTGTCTTGACCTTATGATGGCCTGCTTAACGTCTACATCTATTGCCTTGACCTTATGATGGCCTGCTTAACGTCTACATCTATTGTCTTGACCTTATGATGGCCTGTTTAACGTCTACATCTATTGCCTTGACCTTATGATGGCCTGCTTAACGTCTACATCTATTGCCTTGATCTTATGATGGCCTGCTTAACGTCTACATCTATTGCCTTGACCTTATGATGGCCTGCTTAACGTCTACATCTATTGCCTTGACCTTTATGATGGCCTGCTTAACGTCTACATCTATTGCCTTGATCTTATGATGGCCTGCTTAACGTCTACATCTATTGCCTTGACCTTTATGATGGCCTGCTTAACGTCTACATCTATTGCCTTGACCTTATGATGGCCTGCTTAACGTCTACATCTATTGCCTTGACCTTATGATGGCCTGCTTAACGTCTACATCTATTGCCTTGACCTTATGATGGCCTGCTTAACGTCTACATCTATTGCCTTGATCTTATGATGGCCTGCTTAACGTCTACATCTATTGTCTTGACCTTATGATGGCCTGCTTAACGTCTACATCTATTGCCTTGATCTTTATGATGGCCTGCTTAACGTCTACATCTATTGCCTTGACCTTATGATGGCCTGCTTAACGTCTACATCTATTGCCTTGACCTTATGATGGCCTGCTTAACGTCTACATCTATTGCCTTGCCTTGACCATGATGGCCTGCTTAACGTCTACATCTATTGCCTTGACCTTATGGATGGCCTGCTTAACGTCTACATCTATTGTCTTGACCTTATGATGGCCTGCTTAACGTCTACATCTATTGCCTTGACCTTATGATGGCCTGCTTAACGTCTACATCTATTGCCTTGACCTTATGATGGCCTGCTTAACGTCTACATCTATTGCCTTGATCTTATGATGGCCTGCTTAACGTCTACATCTATTGCCTTGCCACCATGATGGCCTGCTTAACGTCTACATCTATTGCCTTGACCTTATGATGGCCTGCTTAACGTCTACATCTATTGCCTTGCCACCATGATGGCCTGCTTAACGTCTACATGTATATTGCCTTGACCTTATGATGGCCTGCTTAACGTCTACATCTATATTGTCTTGACCTCATGATGGCCTGCCTAACGTCTACATCTATTGCCTTGACCTTATGATGGCCTGCTTAACGTCTACATCTATTGACTTGACCTTATGATGGCCTGCTTAACGTTTACATCTATTGCCTTGACCTTATGATGGCCTGCTTAACGTCTACATCCATTGCCTTGACCTTATGATGGCTTGCTTAACGTCTACATCTATTGTCTTGACCTTATGATGGCCTGCTTAACGTCTACATCTATTGCCTTGCCACCATGATGGCCTGCTTAACGTCTACATCTATTGCCTTGACCTTATGACGGCCTGCTTAACGTCTACATCTATTGTCTTGACCTTATGATGGCCTGCTTAACGTCTACATCTATTGTCTTGACCTTATAATGGCCTGCTTAACGTCTACATCTATATTGTCTTGACCTTATGATGGCCTGCTTAACGTCTACATCTATTGCCTTGACCTTATGATGGCCTGCTTTACGTCTACATCTATTGCCTTGACCTTATGATGGCCTGCTTAACGTCTACATCTATTGCCTTGACCTTATGATGGCCTGCTTAACGTCTACATCTATTGCCTTGACCTTATGATGGCCTGCTTAACGTCTACATCTACTGCCTTGACCTTATGATGGCCTGCTTAACGTCTACATATATTGTCTTGATCTTATGATGGCCTGCTTAACGTCTACATCTATTGCCTTGACCTTATGATGGCCTGCTTAACGTCTACATCTA